ACGCAATTTGTGTCAATGATTGAAGAAATATATATATATATACTAGTATCAATATCAAGATTAGAGGAAAACATAGTTTGTGCTTTTAAAATGAATTTTATATCATACATTTACAATGTCTCGCAGGGGGAATGGATCTGTTTGACTCTGCTAAGGCCAGTCAAGGCATGGGTATGTTAACATAGATTTTGTGTAATTAAGGACGCCAATTAAATGGTTTTTAGGAGGACAAATTGCCAAGCTCTCCGCACATAAAGGAACCTTGATCAACAACACAAACAAGGAGTCATTTGTGTCATGTTGAAAAGCTATAAAGATAATGATGATTAGATGCGGTATAATTGGCAACTATCCACCAGACACAATGATATGGATGTAAGCAACTAAAGGTCATCGTATGGCCTTCAACAATGTGCAAAACACATACTGCATAATAAGCTATAAAAGTCAACGACATGACAAAATGCAAAACACTTCAAAAGAGAAAATCAAGTCTGATTTCTTATAGAATAATAAAGGAAAACAAATATGCCAGACAGCAACCAATGACAACCACTGAATAACAGGCTCCTAACTTTGGACAGACACATACATAATCTGGCAGGTTTAAACCTGGTACAATGGTGTAACAGCACAACATAAGAACAAATAGTACAAAGAGACACACTGTGAACACTACATAATTTGGGACAATGGTGTAACAATACAAAATAAGAACAAACAGTACCAAGCAGCACACCTGTCTGTATTGCTGACCTGGTGAAAAATGCGAGTTAGGACTTTAATATGCACATTTTATAGTTACTCTTTGTATTGCTGATCGTTTTTGTAATTTACATGTTTAACCTACCTCCTATAGTTTTTTATGTCACTTTTTTTAGTTGATAATGTCATGCTTATCATGTGTGCACTTTACACTTTTAACCCAGCTCCTTTATTTTCAAAATTACAACAAAAGAATTGGAAATAAATGTGGATAGTGTCCACATGTGGACACAGATGATGCCCCCGCTTGCATATCATATAGTTATAAAGGGACATAACTGAAGAACGGTAAAAGTGACGCTACCCAAATTTTAACTTGATCTGAGTTTTGTGGTAATAAGCATTGTGTGTAAGTCTCATAACATTTGGTTGAGGCTAACTTAAGTAGAGAACAGAAACTAAAAATTCAGCAATTTTTCTATTTGTAAACACGCATAACTCTAGAACGGTTGTGTATAAATTTTACAACATTTGGTTGAGACAAACTAAAAAATTCAGCAATTTTTATGTTTATAAAGGGACATAACTCTAGAATGGTAAAAGTGTTGTCACCTAATTTCGTACTTAATCTGTATTATGTAGTAATAAGCATTGTGTATAAGTTTCATAACATTTGGTTGAGGCAAACTCAAGTTAGAGAACTGAAACAAAAAAATTGTACTTGATCCTTACTGAGTTTTGTGGTAATGAATATTGTGTATAGGTTTCATAATGTTTGGCTGGGGAAAACTTCAGTTACAGAATGGAAACTAAAGAATTTTGCAATCTTTCTATTTATAGATGGGCATAACTCAATAATGGTTAAAGTGACACTACCCAAATTCAACTTGATCTGTGTTTTATCAGTGGAAGTCAAAATTAAACATTGCATTGTATATAGCATTGATTGTAGTTGATCCAACTATAATCATGGTCAAAGGAAGATAACTTCAATTTTAAAAATATATTATATAATCTTGATATTTAGAAGAAAATAAAAATTTTGCAATTTTTCCTTTAAATAAAGGGGCATAACTCTAGATCGGTTAAAGTGACACCACCAAAATTCAAACTTGACCTGTGTTTTGTGGTAATAAGCATTGTGTATAAGTTTCATAACATTTGGTTGAGGCAAACTTAAGTTAGAGAAGGGACTAAAAATTTTGCAATATTTCCTTCATAAAGGGGCATGACTCTAGATCGGTTAAAGTGACGCCACCAAAATTCAAACTTGATCTGTGTTTTGTGGTAATAAGCATTGTGTATAAGTTTCATAACATTTGGTTGAGGCAAACTCAAGTTAGAGAACGGAAACCAATTTTGGGACGTACGGACGGACGTACGTACAGACGGACAAGGGTAAAACTTAATGCCCCCTCCGCTACGGCGGGGGCATAAAAATGTATATTTCAGGGGAAATAACTCAAAAACAGGTTGACTGACTTTTCTAGATTTTTCAGGATTTTTAGATCTAGTTGTGCTGATCATTTTTTGCAATTTACATTTGTAACCTAGTTCCTATATTATTTAAAACATCAAAACCTGCAAAAAATATTTATGGGGCAATAACTCTAAAACAGGTTAACAGATTTTTCTCTAATTTTCACGATAGATACATCTTATCTAGCTGATCCTTTTTGCTATTTACAATTTTAATCTTGCTCCAATAGTTTTCATGATAACAGCCTAAAACTGCAAAAAAATTGATGTTTCAGATGCATTAACTCCAAAACAAGTCTACAGATGTTTCTGTAATTTTCAGGGTAGATACATCTTATCCAGCTTTTACAATTTACACTTTTAACTTACTCCTATAGTTTTCAAGATAACAACCAACAAATGCAAAAAATTGGAACAAATCGATTTTTCAGGGGCAATAACTCCACAATAAGTGGTTAGATTTGGGTCGAATTTTCAGGATGTGTATCTTGTCATGCTGATTATTTTTGCAATTTACACTTTAAAACCTAGCTCCATTAGTTTTTCAAACAATTGCATAAAAATGCCCCAAAAGTTAAAAATCAATATTTCAGGGGCAATAACTCCAAAACCGGTGTACAGATATTCCCAAAATATTCAGGTTAGATAGAACTTGTTTTGTTGGCATATTGACACTAGTCAGTTCTTCTTTAATTGCTATTCTTTGAGAGATATTAGCCACAACTGTAGTTCCTATGTTCTATTTTTAAACATGGTCGCCATGTTGATTTATCACACAAACTTTATTGTGGACATCCTACAGATGAAACAGAAAAACTTGAAGAGTTTCAGAGAAGATTTTTAAAGAAAATCTTAAGGATGACGGACAGACGGACCACGGTCTCAATGTGATGGCAAAAGTTCACATGGCCCTGAGGGCCAAAAGAGCTTAAACCCAATTGGAAAGGACTTGACTCATCATATCGTCTGAAACACCAACCAACATAAAGACAAAAAAGACAAAAGACAAAAGGTACCAATCTAAGAGTACCCACTGTTACTAAATGCTAGTTCAAAGCCAATTACAACTAATAAATAAAGTATGTTTTCCCAGACAAAAAATTCAATCCAAACACAACCAACAGATTAAGCAATAATGAACGTAAACAATAATTTTTGAATTTACAGTATTTGATAACTAAAGGTTATCGGGCACCTAAATCATTCACCTGAGAAAAATATGCAATATTAAAATCATTAGCAACATTGGACCTGGATAAAATCTGGTAACAATCTTACCTAGTGTGTGAAACCATAATAGATCAAATCTGACAGAGGCAAAAAACTCACAATAACCCATCCAAACCTTTCCATTTCCCAATAAACTGCTTCGCTGAGCGCAGCTGGATACGCCCGCAGAGGTCTAACCCTGAACAGTTGGGGCAAAAATGGACACAATATTCAAGCTTGATACAGGTCTGAATTTGGATTGTAATTAAATATTTGACATACATCTATTATAGGTTTCTGAATAAATGTAGTCAAAGAACTTGAAGTTGGTTATATGAATTGAATTTATATTCAATTAAAGATTTCTTGCTGTTGTGCAATACACTGTGCTGTTGAGCAATACTTAGTAAATCTGTTGTCAGACTATAAACAAATAAAATTTATAAAATTCTAAAGGGAGCTTACATCAATAGATATCAACAATTCATCAAAGTTTCATGAGAACTGCTGAATGCATTTTTGAGTTATTGTCCGAAAACTGGAAAATCCCCCTTTTTTTTATGAATAAAACCCCATAACTCGGAAACGTAAAATCTAAAATTTATAAAAATCCAAAGGGATCTCATGTCAATAGATATAAACAATTAACCAAAATTTCTTGCAAGTTGGTGAAAGCATTCTTGAGTTATTGTCCGAAAACTGGAAAATCCCCCTTTTTTTAATGAATAAAACCCCATAACTCGGAAACGTAAAATCTAAAATTTATATAAAACGAAAGGGAGCTCACGTCAATAGATATAAACAATTCACCAAAGTTTTAAGCAAATTGGTAAAAGTGTTTTAAGTTAATGTCTGACATGTTGACGACGGACGGACGGACGGACAGACGGACGTACAACAGTATACCATAATACGTCCCGTAAACGGGCGTATAAAAATTATCAAATGATTCCTTATGAGAATTATTGCCCTTAAAGGACTATTTTCCTCCATTTTTGCATTTTTGGCAATTGGCTTGAAAACAACTAGAGGCTCTTTGTGTCACAGGTTCACCTTGGTCTGAGTGCATCTTCAATATTTTAGACTAGAATATAAGTTATGACTAAAATCTCTTTTTTGTTATTCAGTATTCTTTTGACAGTTTCTCTCTATCTTCTATAGGTTTTTCCCAAAAACTAGAAAAAGTGTAAAAAAAAATCATCATTTTAATAACTCCTGTAAGAATAAAAATGACAGATCTGGACTTGCTGATCATTTTTGCTTTTTAAAGTTTCTATCTATCTATTATAGTTTAAAAATAATGATTAATAATAATTTTTTGGCAGGTTAATATTTAAAAACCTAAAACACCACATTGTATGAACTGGAAAGTTGATTCCAGATTAATGTGGAGACAAGTAATATCACTGAATCAGAAACCCAACAACAACAAAAATAATCAAACTACATCTGGAAATCAATATAATCAACAATGGTTACGAGCATTAAAATAGTTAGGGATGGCTTAATCTTAAATATGTATTTTAAATGAGGGTGAACAATAAAGGGAAAAAAAGCCAAGCAATGTTCTAAAGGTTTTTTGTTTAAAAATACTAGAACAAACTGGATTAATTTGGTTTGTGTTTTTATTAAGAAACCATTAGTATGTGTTTTGACAAATAGATAAAAACAAAAACAAAAAGTAAATAAAGAATTCTTTAAAGTAAAACAAGAACTTGCACACGTTGTTGTAGTATGTGTTTTGACAAAAAGATAATAACAACAAAAAGATAAATAAAGAATTCTTTTAAAATAAAACAAAAAGTCACACACGTTGTTACAGTATGTGTTCTGACAAAAAGATAACAACAACAAAGAGATAAATAAAGAATTCTTTAAAGTAAAACAAGAACTTGCACACGTTGTTGTAGTATTTGGTTTGACAAAAAGATAATAACAACAAAAAGATAAATAAAAAATTCTTTTAAATAAAACAAGAAGTTGCACACATTGCTTTACTCGTAATAAAAGTATCAGAAAACAGAAAGTAGCTGACTGACAGATCAGAAAAGTGATCACACCTTAACAGCTCATCACTGTCAAACTGCTGACAAAATAAAAGTCATTCTACTCAATATATTGAAAAAATTCAAAGTATCGGGAAACAGGAACTAGGTGTCTTTACAGATACAAGAGGCTAACACAAGCTTCGACTCATCACTGTCAAGCTACTCGTCAAATATGAAGTCATTCTTTTCAGTAGTTCCTGAGATAAGAGTGATGAAACTTTTTGTTTTCATTCACACATTAAAAAATTCAAAGTGTTGTAAAACAGGAAGTTGGTGTCTGGGATCTCATCACACTTTACAACTCATCACTGTTAAGCTGCTGAAAAATTATGAAGTAATTCTAAGAAAAGTGTAAGGTTATATGGATGGAAAGGTTGATTGCAATGTAGCCCATAATACTGAGAGGGCAAGCCCGTACTCACAAAGTGGAGGTATAATAATAAGGCAATAAATCAGTTAGAATTCAAAACAATAAAATAAAGCTCATTGATAATCTTAATAAGATATTATCTGTAATACTCTAAATAAACAGTCATTTCATGTATAAATTTCTCAATGTTTTACCTTTTTATAGGAGTGAAATAACTTTAATTAAAATGGAAGAAAAAATGCACTGCAACTGTTCCTGTATGAGAACATTGGCCATTATGAAAGGACTACCCGATATTTTACAGGCCTTGAGATCACCATTTCTTATGATATCACTAAAAACAAACAAGTTAAGGCAAATGAAAATATATGAAAACTTGAATAGAACCTAGGAAACATACCCCCTCCCTCCAAAGAAATAAAAGTATACCAAGTTATAGTGCTCTGTTGGCATAGTTTGTTCCCCATTTCTCTCTCTCTCTCTCTCTCTTTGAAAATTAAACTCCTGCAAGTTTTAATGAGTGGTAGTCTTAAATCAAGGAATAAGGTATGATAAGGCTATTTTTTTTGCCCCTTGAATCTGAAAACCAAACTGTAATATAAATCTATCAAATAACATTCTTTAGATGTTCATAAGACATTAGCATGTCAGATATCAGTATTAATATATTAAATTTTGTCTAACATTTTGGAATATAATGCATTTTGAGATCTTATCATTAATATTAAGATAGCAGCCAAGGCTTTACCCAAACAGATATTATGTTACAAGATATATATGTGTATATAATCTTTTTGGGTAAGGCCTTGACTCATCTACTTTGTCCCAAAAACATGTGTAAAATTGTAATTAATGGCCAAACAACTTTAAGCCAATATAGAGACATAACAAATGACCCGTTTCGACTAAAAATATTCAGTTTATATCAACATGTTAATTTATTAATACATTATTTGTTACAGCTTCCTCTCAGCAGGTCAGGAATGAAATTTAGCAACAAGTCTGAAAATAACAACCATTTTGGAAACCACGATATGCACTGATTTACAGAGATAGCTCGAGGCACAGTATCATTACTTTAATCTGTCAATGGGCATGTGACCTTTTTATAATTATAAATATAAACAGGCAGGTAAACATAAAATACTAATAGACAGGTAAGCACATTTCTAAAACTGGACAAACTTAAATAAGACTGTATATTTAGACAGTTGCAACTTTCTCAGTTCTGTTTGATCTCATTTCATAGATAAAACATATAAATTAAATTAAATTAAACCCATTTACTAAACCTGCATCAGAATATTTTTTTGAGGGTTGTATCAATCAAAGATATTGGTCTTCCTCCTGCTGCCTTCCCTAGTTTCACTTTTGCAGCTGACTTTTGTTTCAATCACTGGACACGCTAAGCACATGTGCAACAAAACCTTCTAACTAAGGGTCAAACTAAAGGTTGTATGCATACAGACCCAAATAAGGTTGAATTATTGTTTTGCAATACAGCTCATTTTTTTACACAAGGTATTTTCTATCAATTTGCTAACAATTTTAAATTTAATTCAAAGGCTTGCAACATTATATCCCTTTTCATTGTCATCATTTTCATCATATCATCTAAAAAAATATCTTTATTTGAGATTTTGAGTATTAAAATCTATTCATGTAAACCTCTTGTTTTACTCTTTTGTACCTTTGAATTTAAATACATTAAAAATGTCTAAAGGGTCATTCTCAACAACCTCAATACAAAACTGTCCAGGGTGGCTTAAAAATGTACATTTCAAAACAGCTTATTATCAACAGGCACTATCAAAGCGATGGTAATAGCTCAAATTCCTGTTTGACCAGCTAAAATCAACTTTATGAATTCCAAGATAAAAACACTTCCTTATTTTTTCATCATAGCTGACTATTCTTTTGTCTACAGCCATTTCTTACAAATATAAACAAGTACTCCTGAATTCATCAAGATGTTGGCACAGCCATAAACACTGGTGAAATTATTGTCCTGTTTTAAAAAAACAATAAATATATAACAAATCTCCAACCGTCTATAATTTAAAACTTCATTATAACAAAACTATGTTTCAGGAATATTAACCCACACTCTTGTTAAACTTTGGCAACATAAGTCCAAACTTGGCCTCCATGCCGGCAAAAGTTGCCTTTGCAAGTCTATAACCACCTATATGATCTGGATTTCGAGATAATTGTTCTTCAATTTTCGTTGCACTAGCTTCAGATCCTTCAGGTCTCCTACAAAGAAGCACATATAATGTATATCAAATGTGTTTATAAACTAAGTAATAAAATTATCACATACTACATATTTCTAAAATTGGGACAACATTCATATGAATATACCATATTCACTGAAAGTGGCATTAAGCACCAACAAAACAAACTAATGTAAACTAGAGGCTCCTATAAGCCTGAATTGTTCATGAGAAAACTGCGAACGATGTGTCATTTTGATATTTTTTTTTTACCTTTTTCACGATAATATTTTTCTCTCTAACAGTTTTTCAAGGGTGTTCAAGAAAATTAAGGCAAATTTTTGTTTTCTTCCATGCCATAATCACATTATTTTTACATAAAAATCTGGACTAAAAAACCTTTCCAGGTTCCCCCTCCCTCTTCCCCAAATCAAATGGCCCACCACTAGTCAGTCATCACAATATCAAAGACCAATTCAATCATTCATGATCTTAATGTACTAGTTTATCAAAATGTTCTTGCTTGCTGATATTCAATTTTATAAAGCAACAAGAATGTGTCAATAGTACACGGATGCCCCACTCGTACTATCATTTTCTCTGTTCAGTGGACCGTGAAATTGGGGTCAAAACTCTAATTTGGCATTAAAATTAGAAAGATCATATCATAGGGAACACGTGCACTAAGTTTCAAGTTGATTGGACTTTAACTTCATCAAAAACTACCTTGACTAAAAACCTAACCTCAAGCGGGACAGACAGACGAAAGGACGGACGAATGAATGGACGCACAGACAGAAAAACATAATGCCCCTAGGTGGGGCATAAAAATTAAAAGCCTAGTTTTTTTTTAAATACTGGAGGATCTATTTCCCTTTTGGCTCTAAATAAGGTCACACTAAACACAGTATATTCTCACCCTACATCATAATATCACATGAATGAATGTTATTTAATGGATTTTTTTTATGATAGAAGAGTTACAAGTCCTATTTGCCACGAACTTGATTGTGTACAAGAAAACTTGAATTGTCAAAAGACATGCTCCAAACTGTTGGACTATTGAACCAATTTATCTTCAAATAACCAAAAATTAAAGGAATATTTTCTTCATTTTTAAACCAAACTTGTAAAAATTCATTGAAGGTCTTTGGAGTGTGCATGGAGGGTCCAACACTACGACAGACAGACTGACAGATGGTATATCATAATTTGTCTGTCATTAAGAGGTGTATAAAAACCTTTTTAAATTATGCCTTGATTTAATAATTTTACAAAATTCTCACCTTCCTCCAAAATCAATTCTGAATGTTCTCTGTAATAATTCATAAGTTAGTAATGTCACACCAAATTGAGGTGATGACCGTAAAACTCGAGCTGAAATAGAATAACATTGATATCAATATATTACTTTATCTTTATTTTCATGTGTGGTTAAAGAGAAAAATCTTAGGTGTGTAGCACTACAGCATATGACATCCCAACCTCCAACCAAAGAGTTCAATGTTAACTCTTAAGTTTGGCCGAAGCATCTACATGTAGTAATCTTTATTGTACATTTGACATTTTGAATCCAAAATATCTTTTGATACATTGTTGCATACTCTGGCTTTCCAGACTTGACAGTCACATTCAAATAAAAGTGTCCAATAATTGCACAGCATGACTGTCAAGTGGAACCACATAGTCTGGTATTGCTAAGATTATTGCACATACTTCCCATAAATTACAAGCCCATTCACGATAAAAAATAAAGCAATTCTATATTTAGTGATATTAGGTATATAGTGCTATAAGAAAGCTTCTCTAAAATTAATTTGTTGTTTCTTGGTTGTGACAATTTTTCCACAACAGATTTATAGATGGACACTGCATAAAATCAGCCTTTTTATCCCTTTTTGTAAAGTAGGTGCATATAACGATGTCAAATGATGTCAAAACATTTAAAATCTTGTTTTCTTCATTTCAATTTTTGGTTCTTTGCATTTCCCTATGTTATATGCAAATCTGAAGTTGTTCTTAAAAACTTTGTTTTCTTTCGCCAAAATTCAGCATTTCTCTTTAACATATCACCACTTTTCCATGTTAGTTTCAAAAAGAGAAGTCATTTCTCCCTATGATTCTGAAGTAGTGCGAGCCCTGAATTGATTTCAAAAGTGATTGAGGTTGAAGGGCTATAAAACCTTCAAGAAAATGACATGTACTGTGGTTATCATTCATGATTACTGTTTGAAATAACCATAAAACTTAAACAAGTGTTGATATTGGCTCTATCTTGTCTGAGAAGGAAAACTGTGTCTTTGATTTACAAAACTTTCACACAAACAAGACAAAAAGTGACATTGTTTATACCTGGTGTTCCTTTCCAGAAAGCTGAGAATCCTTCTTCCCTAAGTATAGTTTGAGCACAGTGCATTAAGCCTCTGTATGTTGTTTGACCCTTTCTAGAAGCAACCTGTAACCTGGTTTTAATAACATCAGCTGGTGTTGGTATAGCTGCTGCTGGCATACCTGAATTATAAGAGATATCTTGCCATGAAAATACATTAATCAGCTTGTGTACCCTATTCAATTTTCAATCATTTTGAGTGGATTGTCAGTACAAACAAAACTGTATCTTGAAAAATTGTTCTGTACTTAATTGTATTTTAAACAATTAGGTTTACAAATTTGCCTCATTCCCACAATACCCCCAAAGGGTGACTGGGGAATAGAAGTATGGTCACCATTGGTCTTCCTCCGACCGGCAGTAAAACCCTTGCTAAAGTGGGGCGTCCATTTGGCTGTGCGGGATGTACAAATTTGCAGCCACGTCCGGTCAGAATGGGGACGTTAAATCCGATGCCTCGTGTAAAGAGAGTGCCACGCTCTTTGCACGTTAAGAACCCTTGTAACAACTCTTTGAGGGGTCCGTAGGTGACCTGTTGCAAGGCTAAATTTCTGTCCCTATCCAATATACCCTCATTTCCCGTGGCAGTCCAAATTTCTCCGACCTTAATCCCGGACGCCCCTCTTACAGAACCTACCTATTGTATTTATTGTTAATTTGTTCTCGTCCTGAATATGCATGAAATATTTGCCACTGGACGTAAAGCAACCAACAATCAATCAATCAATCATTCCCACAATAAAATTGAGAATGAAAATGGGGAGTGTGTCAAAGAGACAACACCCCAACAAAAGAGCAGAAAATAGCCCATGGCCAGCAATGGGTCTTCGACACAGCGAGAAAATCCAACATCCGGATGGGGGCAACAGCTGGCCCCTAAACAATAATGTATACAAGTTCAGCAAATATGCTTGTATAAACGAAATAAAAGGAAAACTTATTGATGTAAACTTTACCATCTGCATGAATAAGCATAAATAATAAGTCATAGTAACTTAGTTTTATGAGATTTTTAGGCTGAAATTTATCTAACAAATTCATCTAAGTACCAATCCCTTGATAGTGTTTAAAACTTACTAGAAATAAATGTTTTCCTTTTTTTGCTCTGAAATATGTAGTCTATCTATCAAGTTTATGATAGTACATCAATAACTATCCTGAAGAGAGAACTATTTTGGCAGGGGTTGAATTAGCAATTTATAGGTGAATGGAATATGAATATCATGGAAAAATATTTTCATAATTTTGGTAAACACAGGAATTTCATAATTTAATTGTTATTGGGTGATTTTGACCTCTAACCTTTAAACAAAATGGAATTTAATCTCTTTCAATGGAAAAGCATTAGATGTTTGATGAAGATTTGAAATCAAATAGGTTTCAAGAATCACCACCAAGGCCAAGAAGTTGACAAATTTTGACAAAAACAATACCTTTATGTATGGTGCCTTAAAGTATGCTATGGTTGGATGGACACATCAACAAAAGCACAGACTGACATATGCATTATCAAAATCTTTCACTACTTTGTTGCAAGGGCATTACCTTATGATCCTAAAGAATTTGAGTGACTGCTTTCCTTTAATTGTACCAGGTGTTCTTTACTCTGACACCACATTGCCAAGCATTGAACATTGATAATGACTAGATGGAAGATAGAAGCTTTACTGTGCCTACTAGCTTTATTCTCTAAAGTACTAGTCATGTTGTGGCCCATCAAATCCCCCTCACTTCGTAAAAATATTTAAGAGTTTAAGCACCCAACCCAATAGCAATGCAATGGAAAATTGTGACCAAGACAAGACCTCTTTGGTGACCAAGACAAGACCTCTTTGGTGTCTTTGGGAGTATCACTGATGGAAAACATAACAATGGAAAATGGCTGTACAGTGGATACACACCTTTATATTTTAGACATGTTTACCTAGAACTTTATCCTTGAAATTAAATAGGGTTATAGCATGCCACATAGCCTAGTACAAGATGATACTTAATATATATTGAAGGGCAGACTAGGGTTGCAAAGTTTCTACAATCTTTAATTTTTTAAGTCCTGTGACTTACATTAAAATTAAAAGAAGAATGTGTCTGAGGACATGAATGCATGTGCTCGAGCTTGCTTATATGTGAAAATACTTTTGGGATGGGCGGATGGATGGAAGGACGGATGGTCAATAGTAACACTAAATGCACCCTTTGCCTAGAGGCGGGGACATAAAAAATCTAGTTTAAGTACATGGCCCAGACTGAGTGTAGCCAAGTATTATACAAAGTTTGCTGTTCAGAGTTGTAAATGCCTACAAGAATGTTATAAACTGACATAAACAAGGGCAGGTCAATTGAGAAACTACAGAAACAAATACCAACATTGACCTGTAGACAATGTGATCTGGGATAATTACCTGCAATTGTAGCTGCCAGTAAGAGAGTTCCTGGATGATTGTAACCATTTTCATCAGCCAGCATTTTCTTGACATGAGCATAAGCAGGGAAATAAATAGCTGAAAAGGGTATGTCTCTAAGGAAACAAGCTCTGGAACCCTACAAAATAAAATCTTTAACTAGACAGTACTACTAATATTTTGTTAGCTGTAAATAACAGTTATCAGTTATACATTTGGATTAAAAAGACTGAAATCAATAGTTTTCATAAACAGCTGCCCCATGAGCGCATGATACACCCGTCGTCTTGTGTGTGATTTTTATGCAATAATCATAAATAGTTTCTGACATACGGCCCAACATGCGAAAACCCCCCTTTTTTTTTACTAAAAACTCAATATCTCTAAAATAAAATTTTGAATCATCACCAAAAAGTATACAGATCTTAAGATTAATATAACTAAGAAGTGTGTAAAGTTTTAAGCAATAATCATAAATTGTTTTTGAGATACGGCGCAACATGTGAAAAAAAACACACACCTGCTTTAGTTACTAAGTCCCGTAACTCAAAAAGTTTTAATCTTATTTTCATCAAAAAGTATACAGATCATTTGACCATCATAAGTAACAACTATGTTAAGTTTCATGAAATTTGGATAAGTCGTTCTCAAGTTATGGTGCGACATGTTTACTCCGGACAGATTGACGGACAGACAGACAGACAACATTTGTATACCATAATACGTCCTGTCAAAATTTTGACGGGCGTATAAAAATTGTTATGATTTAAAAGCAAAATATGAAATTAAGAATTATTGTAATGGTAGCAACTGTTCTCACTACCGAATAAAAAACACATGTATCAAGACAGTGGATTTCTCTAAATTGCATAATCCAATTTTCAGAGATATTCTGCTAGAAACAGAGACATGCAAACACTTCGATGATGAGGTTTTTTTTTTAAAAACCTTGACTACCCATGAGGGTCTTGCACATTAAAAAGGAATCTTAATGTAAAGATAAGCAAGAAAACAAGGAACTCAATATTTTCATTAAAACAAAATCTTTTGTTCACATTATTTGTCAAGTTCTTATATTTTATTGCTAATTAGTATAATTCAGACTTTTTTTTGTAATAAATAGGATGTTGACCTATGCAATTAAATGTTTTAGAAGAGAAATGAAATGCTTATGTTTCTAAATTGGTAAGCAAGATTATGCAATTATTTGAACTCTACTGTACACATGTATTTGGCATAGACTAAAAATATATAAGCATGTGTTACACAGTACAACTAACACAGATCAAGCTTTTACTGAAATATCTAGAGGCTATGAAGCTGCAATTAGAAGTTACTGAGAAAAATGTGACAAAAATTATACAAGTGTGCATTGTCTCAAGGTATAGCTTACTGAGATGAAGCTCCATATAGAGTTGAGAAATATGCAACAGATTAACAAAGGACATACATGTATTCAGCAAACAGAAGTTGATGAGTTTGGAATCTGAAAACATGTCAAACCGCATTTACATTATATAGCTTTCTACCAAATATCAAAAAAGCTAGGCAGTTTTTAAAAACTCAGCTCAGAAGTTAACATCAGAATAAATTACCAACACTTAACAGGCGATATCAGTAATATCCTCTGTCAGACAGAAACAGACAATATCAGTAATATCCTCTGACAGAAACAGGCAATATCAGTAATATCCTCCGACAGAAACAGGCAATATCAGTAATATCCTCTGACAGAAACAGGCAATATTGGTAATATCCTCTTGACAGAAACAGGCAATATCAGTAATATCCTCTGACAGAAACAGGCAATATCAGTAATATCCTCTAACAGAAACAGGCAATATCAATTATATCCTCTGACAGAACTTTTATCTCAGTGATAACCAAAAAATCACTGTGTGTAAGTTTAGATTTAGAACAATTATAATAGAAAAAATATAGAAAAATTCCAAAAACTGAAAACTGATATTTAAAATTTTTGTTCTTTTAATGAGCTACTAAATCAAATTCACATTTTACAGTACATTTCAAGTGAAACAAAAAACTTAATAGAATTGCATGTCAAATATTGGGAGTGATTCCAAAAGTCCAAATTAGAAAATAATTTTCCTAAATTTTAAATTGAACATTATCTTTTGATCATAAAAATTTGTTTGAAAAGAGAGGATGTTTGTGGGTGTATTTGGCACCATGAATATACATAAAAACCTTGTAAAAAAATCTTCAAAAATTCAAATATGAAACCCAAAAGAAAATATTTCTGCAAACTTATTGTTGAATGTTATATTTTACTTAAATGTCAAAACTTGTCAGGAAACGGTATCTTTCAGTTAAATAGGACAACAAAGACCATATCCATCATGTAAGACATGTATAACAGATGATAAGACTATGATAATATATACATACCTTGTAAAGTCCCATTAATCCCAGCTCTTTTATTACTGTAAAAGCACTAACTCTAGCACCTCCAACTATTTCACCAGCAACTTGCAGACGAATTTTTACAATTTCTAAAGGATTTGTAAACATAACTTGTGAAGCACCTGCCTGAAAACAAACAAATACAAGTTAATAAGATAATAATATCATAACATATTTATAAATAAAGGAGAATAAATATTAAAGTGGCATTATCTGTCAATTAATGTTCACCAATTTGACTCAAATTCTCATATTTGATTTTTAACAAACTAAAATGTTTATCCAATTTATAAAAAGTATAAAATAAACAATTTACGATACATGGACTTGATAATATGTATCATTATTCCATGTGTATTTTAGTCTAGACGTCATCTAGTCAACCATAGAGGTGACCACGAAGACGGCCAACAGTCATATTACCCGATATAAGCATAAATATAGATATATATAGGTAGCGAACACATGCAATTGGATTTTTCTAAGTCTGTTTGATTTCAAATTATAGGTTAATAAATATGTTAATCATTGTTTTTACCTGAATAAGAATGAGTTTTTTGTGTATTGAATCAGTCACCCAAATGGTTTACCCTTGTTTCACTTTCAATTTTGAGATTCTCTTCCTTTTAATAGATGAACACGCATAGTATATGCGTAACCCATCTCTAGCTAAGGGGTTAAATTTTATTTAGAGACATTTTTGTAGATCTTACCAGTTTTTGAAATTATTGGCAAAATTATTGGGTTTATTAAAAAAAAATCATCATTTAATGAGCAATAAATACTTGTAGATCTTATTTAACTGACATTTTTTGCCTTTAAAATTTCCCTCTATTCTATTACACAATAGTTCTTACAAAAATTCAAAAAATCATTGCTCAGGGAAATAAATCATAAATTCGTAAGAGGTTCTGTGAAACCCTGTGTCTCACCTGCGATTGTTGCTGTCAGTGTAAAAGTGTAATGTTGACTTAAAAAGTGAGTCCATTTATCAGTAAAATACAGAAATTTAAAAAAAAATCAAACTTTTTCTTAAGATGCTATTTCTTCGTCTTGAAGATTAGATTCTGTCCAAGTTTCATAACAATCCATGACTGTTTACAATTTATCATGTCAAAAAAATTTAATCCCAGACTGAGCCTGAATGTTAACTGTAAAAAAAACTAAGTCCATTTATTAGTAAAATACAGGAAAATAAAAAAATATATTTTCAAAATTTCGCTCTGGATACTGTATTTTGGTCATAAACAAGCTTCTGTCCAAATTTCATAAAATTCCATGAAGGTTTGATAAAGTTATTGAAATCTTAAAAAAACTTTAATCACAGACTGAACCTAGATATTGACGTTGTTGCCGACAAAAATCTAGGAACGCTATGTCTCACTTTCATGACATAAATGACACAGGCTTGATAATAAGGAGCCAGTTGACAATTTCTGCCATGTTGCTTATTTTGATGAGCATTTTTGGTTCTAACTGTTCCTCTCCATCTATTATAGTTTCTGCAAAATATACAAAAATGGGTAAAAATCATCTTTCAAGGGCATTAACTCCTCTAAGGGGTTCAATTTGACATTTTCATATTTGAAGATTATATTTTGATACATATTGTTGCTCTCTATCATACTTTCAGCTAAAAATTCATAGCATGGGTAATAAAGGTTATTTAGTGACAATAACTTATATAAGGAATCAGTTGACAATTTAAGCCATGTTTGACTTATTTGTAGATCTTTCTGTGCATAACATCATTACCAATTACAATTTCTCTCTCATTATGGTTTCCACAAAAACTGCAAAATTATGGTTTCCACAAAAACTGCAAAATGGGTAAAAAAAATCTTTCAAGTGTAATAACTACTATAAGGGGTCAGTTGACAATATCGACCATATTAACTTATTTGTAGATCTTATTGTGCATAACTTTTGCTTATTACGATTTCTCTCTATATATCACAGTTTCTGGAAAAAATAGATAAAAAACATCTTTCAAGGGCAATAACTCCTATAAGAATTAAATTGACAATTCCTGCCCTGTCAATGGTCAAAGCCCACATGGTCATTTTTGCCATGAGATCTAAGGTGTATGGACAACACATTTGATTACATATGCAGAATTTATTCAGGACAGTAAACAAATATACAAACCGTTCCACCAGCCACCATTTCAGCCCAAAGAGGCAGAGAACCATCCTTATTCATTAACTGGTCTCTCATAAAATCATTCATCTAAAATAAAGACATAGTGCACAATCATTCTTTTCTAGTATAATTATTTTTAAATAATATTAAGTGGAACATTAAATATTTCACTTACAGAACCAGTGAAAAGAATGATTCTGAAGTTTCCAGAACACACAATTTTTCTGTAAGAAATATGAGGAATAAGATTTACCTCCATCGATTAAATGAAAAAAAGTGATTATAATAATGATCAGCATATGCAATGAGTAATTTCAGTTTTTTATTAATTCATAGTTTCTTTGATAGAACAAATGAATAAAATAGAAACTAAGTACCCTCATAACAGTAACTTTTTATCAAACCAAAAAAAATTATTTCCCATGAATATAAATGAATCCAAAGTATAATACCTTTAAGTATACTTACAGTCAATTTAATAGCCTTTTCAGGACATACTCCAACTAGTTGTGGTCCCAGGCCACGGTAAAGACCTCTAAAACCTTCATGTCGCAACACTTTATTAAAACAATCCCAGCTATTTTTGTACATCAATTCTCCCACCATTGCTGATCTTTGATTCTGAAGTCTGGTTTTGACAAGATCAATTGGATACACAGCAGTAGCACCGGTAGCTAAAAATAAAAAAATCCACATGATTTCATACACTGTAGATATAACACCTACAGGCACCTAAACAGGGTCTGACAGTGTGATCTATTACTTTTAAGTATCGAAAATCTATGTCACATACTTTTTTATGGCATCAGAGTGGAAATAAATAAATAAACTGTTACTGTGGATTCATTTACTTTCGTGGGTATCAATTTTTCGTGGATTGAGGAAATCTTGCATTTTCGTGGATATTCAATTTCGTTGTTTTGCCAAAGTCTGCATACAAACCAATGGAAAATATGTAAACAGTTGAACACTTGAATTCGTGGTTTACCAGTACCCACGAAATCCACGAATAATAATGAATCCACAGTAACACAGAGATATGCCTTTTTATTATTTTGATAATGGAAATGTTGAAATTAAAATAGCAATACTGACTTAATCACAAACTAATACATTGTTGACACCGCGTCGCCACTGGAAACAGCATACCTGTGTCTCACTTTTTTGACTCCATCAAGGCGAGACAAAACTAAACACAAAATAGCATGTAACACGGAAATGATAACCATGTGTTATGTCAGGAATTGAGTAACACGATTAATATAGCATTTATTCTGGAATGCATATTCATGATAACACCACTTGCATATCAACTTTACGAAATGTGAGTAAACAATATAATAGAATTACAACAAAAAATATCCCCAGAAAATTTCGTCAGCTGTTTTCATGTCTAACCGAATCACAATTAAGATCATTGGGACACTGAATGAATCTGCAAAAATGTGCTTCTGTAAACAAACAATAGGTTGCATTTGTCGAAAAACCCAAATAGGGTAATAATTTTAAGCAAAGACATAAAAGTCTAAATATTTTACATTTAAAATATGACCACATTTCATATATTAATATACAGAAAACTAACCTCCAGCTATAGAGCCAAGCAAAAATCTGTACCCAGATTCCAAAATACTCAGTAGTGGAGTTCTTTCTGTTCCTTGTTCAAACCGAAGTTTTTCCTGTGAAAAAAGAAACAAAAAAGAACAGTGGATATGCATCCATAACTTTGTTTAATTTGATTTAGAAAGTGAAATGTATCTTTTTTTTTAATTCTTACCCATTTTAGGTGAACAGAATGGTGCTGTATGATCCCAGGTGTAGTAATTGGAAATAATTTTTTTTCAAATAGAATTAACAGGGCTCGATAAGGGATTTTGGAAGCCAGTCAATTCAGAAAATTGCTTTAGACTCAGAATCCTTAAATGGATCATTGGTGGCCTTGGGCTGTTTTCTGCTCTTTGGTCTGGTTGTTGTCTCTTTGATGCATTCCTCATTTCCATTCTCTTTTTTATAAGAATTTTTCAACATTTGAATAGTAACTGAAAAAATGCATCTTGAAAAAAATAGTTTTGACCATTTTATGGTGAAAATGCAAAACACCTATGATAAGCACATTAACAGGTAAAGGGGTTGCAGTTCATAGCATCAAGGTAATTTTCCTCACAGTTTGAATTATGGTACAAAGAACTCCACTTACAGTATAATCAATATCAACTAGTTTTCCACAATGAGCTTTTCAATGCTTTTTTTTTTAAGAAAACCCCACATACAATCGGTTCAAAATAAAATTCATTCAAATTACATAAATATATAATGTGGATTCATTATTATCCATGATATAACAATTTTTGTGGTGGGTATGGGTAAACCATGAACTTTAATGTTCAACAAAGTATAAATTTTTTATAGGACTATAGGCAAACTTTTGTAAAATTAAGAAATCAAATACATGTATCCATGAAAATTCAACTGTCCCTAAATCCCATAAAAGTAATACAAACAAAAATAATGAATCCACAGTAATATCTGTTTTAATGGAAAACAAAGCAATTTTTCAGTGCTCATTGAAAAAATGCTTATAACAAATAATGAAATGTAACTTACCTCAGCAATTTGCATTTGAAGTGTAAATGGAGTCTCCCGTCCTTCTATTGGCGAAATAACCTCTAAATCTTCAAAATTTATTCGACTGCAATAGATAAAACAGAACTTTTTAGCATAAGAATGGATGAAAATAATTAATAAGAAATATACATCTAATTCCCCATTTTTAATTTTGGTCCATTTTGAGCCCATTTTAAGCACTGAAATGATTGAAAGCATCATCAATTCCATTGCTAAAAAATCCAAGTATGATTTTGTAGAGGGATTAGGTAGAACAACAAAAAACATTCAAATAAGAAAGTTATGATTTACTATTTTGGAAGATCAGTCTCTTTTCAGCACCAATTAACCTTTTAACTTGTAGATCAAATGAGCTCTGGTCTTGCGGTCGTAACAGTTTGGATTTTGGATTTGGTGTTTCGAGCACACAATTTGTACTTTGAGTTATGAGTAAAGTTTTATGACCATAGGCCCAGGTTAATCTGATTTAAAAATATATAGGAATGGGGAAAAACTAATTTACTGAACTCCAAGTAATATTCTGAATAAATGTCCACATATACTGGCAAGTTTGGGAAATTTCTACAAACAATCCTCTTGGGAACAATTAGAAATTGACTATTTTTAGTAGTCCTGACTTGGTATTTTTGAATTAAAGTCATTGAATAACCTAGTTTTACAATGTGTTAACATTCCACTTCTCTGACATTCGTTTCAATTCCTATTACATATGTTGGAGTGAATGTCCTGAATAAGGTGTGAATCTATATTCGAACTCACACAACCAATCAAACATGATTGTGTATTTAAACATCCCACACTGAAAAATATAGACTTCTCAGAAAACTGGTGCAAGGGCTATGTGCATCCAGAGATCCATGAACACTTCTCCACATGTATGAAGTTTAATGCTACCAAAAAGTATTACATGGCTGCATATTTCTCCATCTCACACAGCCAAACAGACCTCCTATGGTAAGAGTAGTTCTAAGGGTTAAATACATTATACTATTGATGTATATATGGATTTTAATTTATATTTATTAAATTAAATCTTTTCATGTTCAAAACTGTCAGTTCCATAAATTGTGTTTTTAGCTGGCATTATCCTGCTAGCAAATAAGACGTATTCTATAAGCAATGACTTGGTGATCTTTGGGAATTAACATGGGGATACAAAATTATAACAGGAAGAAAACAGTCAATGTTGCATATGAATTCTTTTAAAAACTTTTATATTCAAAAGATTCTACCGTTGAAAATTTAAATTATAGTCAAACTGTGTGGAATTCATAAAAATAATGAGAAATTTGCAAGATATATATTGCATTTAAATGTATCCGCTTTACATGTATGTAGTTCTAAAGTTTACAGGTTTAGTGAAATTACCAAAAAAACATTTAAAAAAAATAGATTTTACTTATATCTTTCAAAGTTACACTATCATATTAAACAAATTTAAACAATGCAATACCTATAATTAGTAGAAGATTTCCTTCTGGAATTACATTATCAAAAACTTAATGATTAGTAGTACTCATTAACTGCAGAAGACACATGAACTATTTTCAGTTGTGGCACAGTTTTCTTCCTGTATAAATTAAATAATTATTTTGGCCAGTTAGATCTAATCCAATGATCACATAAGGCTGCTATTCCAGCCTAAAACTAAGTGCTAAAGACCTTACTTGCATATAAAATAAGGAGATATGGTATGAATGCCAATGAAACAACTATCCACCCGACACCAAAAGACAATGATGTAAACTAAGTGCTAAAGACCTTACTTGCATATAAAATAAGAGATGTGGTATGAATTCCAATGAAACAACTATCCACCAGACACCAAAAGACAATGATGTAAACTAAGTGCTAAAGACCTTACTTGCATATAAAATAAGAGATGTGGTATGAATTCCAATGAAACAACTATCCACCCGACACCAAAAGACAATGATGTAAATTACTATAATAGAAAAACAATGGATATGGGGTATCCATCCATGAAACAAAATCAGTACATGCACAGCAAAAAAACAACATAAAAAGCAAAGGAATAGCACTCTTATGTTGTTCTTCATCTTAAGTCACAGTGAGGCCTTCAACACGGAGCAAAAAAAAAACACAAACTCTCACCTCACTTTAAGTTTAAGACATGCTATAGGGCACTGTTTGGTCTTTAACAATAAGCAAACCCCATACAGTATAGTAGGTCATAACAGGCTTGAGCATGACAAAATACGAAATAATTCAAAAGGAAAAACCAATGGCCTGATTTATGTTGGTTAAGATTATAAACACGAAAAAAGGGTCTTCTATGCTTATCTTAGCTTGTGACTTTGACATTCAAGATAGATTCTAATTCTTATTTGTGGTATACTTTTTAGTATTTGTGAAAAAGTTATACAAAGAATATTATTTAATTATATGCAGTAGTCAAGATATAGAACAGATGTCTTTGTTTTGTATTGTTGTGTTGCTTGGTCTCTCTATCTCTCTCTTTTTGACATGCATCCCACATTTGTTTTTTTTCAAATAATTTGTAATCAAGCATCAGGGGCTCTTTTCACCAAAAGTCTTATGAGAACAAATACTCGTAAGTCATGAACATTTCAGTATAACTTACAATCAATTTTAAACGTGAGACTTTTTGTGAGTCGATGATTTGCAACATTGTCAAGTTTGTGACCACAGAATCAAACCTTGTTTATGGCATATACCTTAGAGTGGTGGTAAACCATACACAGTTGCTTACATCCATGTCATTTGGACTCTCTTTATTTTCATACAGTATCATTATATTTAACTCTGATACATACTCAAAATACAATGCAAATTAAAGAACCTTTTAGAGCATGCTCACATACCCCACACCCCCACATTATTACTGGGCAAACAAAATCTAGCCAGATTCCTAATTTCAAAGACACATAACTCCTACAAAAGTCAACTGATAAAATTCTTGTGAATGTTCATATAAACATATAATTTCCTCATAAACTATAAAGTTTTATGAAATTCTGTTGTGTGGTTTTAGAGGGGTTGCAATGACAAACTGATGCAGAAGTATATTTAGGCCATATTCAAAGGGGCATAACTTTGAAAAAAAATTGAATCATAATTTCCTGTAGATATGCACATCTACATAGTACGTCCTTCAAATCTACATAGTTTCATTAAATTCTGTTGTGTGGTTTCAGAGGAGTTGCAATGACAAGAATAGGATTGATGGATGGACAGGTCAAAAACATTATACCCTGCTTGAGGTGTAACATGACAAACAAAAGATGGACATCTCAAGGCACATTTAAACTGATCATCATAGGATGACTTCATAACAATATTCCACCACAATAATATTGCGATGCAAGAAAACATTTTTGATAAGACAATAATTTGGGTTATGGAAAGGACCTTATAATGGAAAGTTTATAAAAGTTGGTTTTGAAAGTTGTTATTTCCAAGAAGATAAAAATGAATAAGTGACATTTGAAATATTTTCTCCCATTTCAGCTTTAATTGGTTTGAGATATACAAGCTTTGAATTGCACTAATGTTTATAAATGTACAGGTTACATAAATAAACATCATTAGGAAATGCGAATGAAAAAAGTGGTAACATACCCAGTTTGGTGTTGTATACCGACGAGTTGGCATAAAATATCTATTTCTAATGGCGTAATCTGTGCAAATTCTTGAGCTTGGTACAACAATTCCTCTGACAAAATAAAATACATATTAAAATTAATGAAGATACAAAGAAGGAATTATTCCAATTTTTGTTTTTTTCAACCTTCAATTCTATTCAAATTCATCAAGAATAAACAGCTGCACCAGGAGCCCTTTGTATGCATATTGAAATTGTTGAATGAATAACATGGAAAGTAGAAGGTACAAAATCAAAAGTCAATAAAATGACCCTGCAGAAAAAGTTGCTGGAGGATATCCTTACGCATATAAAGAACTCTAGAAGGACAAACAGAAAATTATCAAATCCAAAGGGATTTTACTGTTACCAATCCCAAAAACAATATTTCAAGTAAATCCATCCAAGACTACTTGAGTTAATGGGTGACATGTGAAAAATTGAATATGACGGTTAAAGTCCCACAAATCTGGAACAAAAAAACAAAAAATCAATATATAAACAAGAGGCTATTTTCATTCATATATAAGATGACCATTATCAGTGAAATCGTGCTGTAATGGCCAGACAAGTTTAACCAATCATACCTTTTGTGACCTCAACATTTCTGTTCCCTCTAGTTATGGCAAGGTATAACTTCTTTACCAGTTCCATATTATTTAGCAATGAGACAAAAGCTGAAAAATAGGCGTAGCTGACATGCCGGTGTCCACCTCCTCCAACAGTAACCTAATAATAATAATCAAAAACAAATGATATAACTTATAACTTACTAAATAACTATATCAATATGCTCTGAAAAGTGGAGGATATATTGGTTTAAATGTAATCTTTCCAACCTTCTAAGCATGTGGAGCAGTATCTGCTTACCCTTCTGGAGCAACTGAGATCATGACTAGTTTTTAGTGGGGTTCATGTGCTTTATCTTTCTTTTTTTGTGTAGTATTTCATAGAATATTTTTGTTATTTGCAATGATTTTGTCAGTTTCTCTTTGACTTATGAATTTTGATTGTCTGTTTGATATCTTCCTCCTCTTCTTTCTATCTCTAATTAATTACCATCAGTTTTTGAGAAATGCTCTTGATTTTTAAAGTTAGATAAGTCAATCAATCCTGACATGTGGAGAGTAATGACCTAGTTGCTGCTGAACAGCATTGCACTATAAAAGAAGTTTGCAGTAATGAACAATTACTTGCTGAGAAAAGTTACTTTACATGACATACAAATTAACAAATCTCTCTCAAGCATGGAATGTAGGTAATAGTGACTAAACTAACTGTTGTTGAAAAGTGTTAATAATGAGTCAATTCGAACTTACTGTAACAAGGTTGTCCTTCACAAATTCTGACAACAAAAAACTCTTCAATGTGACCATCAAATATTCAAAATCTTTGGCACTTATGCTTCCAGTATTTTTCTTGTCAAATTTTCTAAATGCCTGGAGTGCATGTTCTTCATGAAAATCCTGAAATCAAGAAATAGATGTTCTACTTATTATAAACACTTCAATAAGTAAAGACGTCCAATAAAACACACTAAAGTTGAAGTGTTATAATTGATACAAGTTTTTCAATGAACTTTGGGTACAATTTTCAACAAAACAAAAAAAAGAAAAAAAAAAAAGTCATTTTAAAATTTTGTTTGTTCTATGAATAAATGAATATGATTTATAATTTGTGCACTTAAGAATATAAATGGTGGCTATAATGTCACTAAGATGTTTTAAACATCTTGAAATTAACATATTTGACCTAAAATGGCCATTTTACACATAAATTTTTGGCGAAAAGAAGACATGAGCCATGGCCTTACCTGAACAGATATAATTTTTACCCACATAACCATTTTGGTATATGATATCGAGGCTATTTCACAGTTTTGGCAGATTTGCATTAAATTCAAGAAGATGGATTCGATATCAAAGCAAATAAGCCATATAGGCAAGACATAATTGAAAAATTTAAATACTGATATCTCACAGATTTATGTCTTGTGAATAACTGGAATTGAAATGTGCCAATGCTAATTAAACTGCATACCAAATATCATTGACGTACCACTATTGCTTCCCTTAAAATTGAACTAATCACAAACTTATACATTGTTGAAACCACTGCTTACAATGTTGACTCTGGAAACAACATACCTAAATTTTGCTTTTCCAATCTTATCGAGGCGAGACAAAAATTGAGTCTGTTTTACATGCAATTGGATGATCACACATCTACAGGTAAAACTAACTTACATGTATTAACTGTGTAAATTCACTATATGTTACTTTCCTGTCTTTATCTTTTCCGAAGTGTAGTTTTATGAAATCACAGTTAAAATCAAAAGGAATTTCACGATTCAAGGTTGTGTGGTTAATAATATCTTGAAATTCATCTGAAAAATATAAATTCAAAACTTAAATATCAGTTATGGTAACAAAAACAAAGCTAGGTATCTGAAGCTTTTAAGTAATTAAAATTAAGATTAGGTTCATTGAAATCTTAAACCTCACTACAGAGTACAGACACAGTATACTTGTTTAAATTATCAACATTCAGAATATAACTAAGATACTCTTGCTCAAGAGAAAAAGTACTTCAACACTCCAAACTAACAGTGATACCTACCACCAGTTATATAGCCGTTACCATTCCTATCAAAGATCTGGAAGGCTAGAGCATACATGGCATCAGGTAAACAGAGCAGTGCTTCAAATGCCTGGAACTCAGTATACGAGATCATGCTGAAAAAGATTCAAATTGAAAAACTGAAACATGGGCACTTTGATTACTTTACATCGTTAAAACGGAAATCTATGTATCAGCATTGTTTAAGAAAAATCTATGGACTTGGAATTGGAGATTTTATGATTTTAAGATAAATTTAAGAACATTTTTTGCCAATTAAATGTGCTTCCTCTACAAATGTTCACCTTCTTATGAAAAAATTCAATCAGAAATATTTCAGAAAATATGAGATAAACGCATTTTTTTTTTAAATTTTCAGTTATGGTTCAATGATGTCAAGGTTGTATGCAAAATTTTATCATAATCTGTCACATAGCCCATTTACAGGACCTTGACCTTAACTGCAAAAAAAAATCAGGTTCACTTTACAGTAAAATATGGAAAAATTAAACAAAAAATGTTTTTTAAACTTTTCTCTGGATACTGTCTTTTGTTTATAAAAAAGCTTCTGTCCCAAGTTTCATTAAATCCCAGGAAAGTTTAAAAAAAGTTATTGATGTCTAAAAAAATTTTAACCACAGACTGATCGCCAGGTCTCCCTTCTTTTATTTACGCTAAAATAAGTATTTAATGGTAACAACTCCACGACTGAGTCAATTGATGGTTTCAGTCATTAAGCAATTTTGAAGATCTTATATTATTAATAATTTTTGCTAATTAAACTTTCTGTCCATCTATTGTACGCCAAATCCTTTTAAAGGGCAATAACTCCTATAGTAATAAATGTTTTGAACTCAGAAAGTCATTATAGTACAGATATGTTTATATGTAACCCATTAAGAAGATTTTGTTCTTCCCTCGCCGGGATTTGAACTCATGCATATATATATATATATATTATTGTCAAAGCTTATTGTGTCTCCCAATTATAAAAATCATTGTAATATATTACTTTGCTCATCATGGGCCCTTTTTATTGGAATAAAAATATCTTTATCTTTATCATATAAGTAGTCAATTGATGGTTTCGGTCATTTAAACAAGTAAGGTTGCAATCCCATATGAGTATCAAATTCAGCATTGGGGAAACATCTTTTCTCCACGTTTCTATTCTTAGTGATAATGACCCTTGACCTTCGAGGTATTGACCTCAAAAGCAATAGGGATCTTGCTCTCATCATATGTGACCATATATCCAAAATTTGTTGTAAACCTTTATATTGTATTTAAGTTAGCAAGCACCCTACAAAGAAAATGAATGACAGATGGGGTGGGTCAATACTATATACCCTGCTACTTCATTACGAGGGATATAACTAAAATAAAATAGCATTAACCTTATAAAATGAAGGGGTAGATATCCAGTTTTTTAGAGATAAAAAAATATATCAGTAACTCTGGAATTACAAAAGTGAAAATTGTCCAAATCAAATAAGACCTCATTGTTATTAATCATGTTAATATCAAGATAACGTTTATTTTTTTTTATTAAATAATCAAATTGTTGTACCAAATTTGAAAATGTGTACGAAAGGCAAATTTAATCTGCTAACATGGTAATCCATAAAAGATAAATCCATGTTGCAAGAAAGGTATCACTCACAAACATTCCCATGGGCAAAGACAAAATATATACTGTAAATTCAGAAATTATTGCATGCATTTATACTGGCAAATGTTGCACAATCAACACATATGTGTTTTCAGAAATGCTGCATACAAATAATGCTATCAAAATTAAAATCCATTTTTTTTTAATTTTTCAAAACCTATTTTGTTTCAATTTTTGCAACAATAAAAACACCTAAAATATTTCTGGACTAGTATGTTCAGAGTCAGACTAATGTGTCAAGGTAAGGTGACATGTCTTCCTGCGGACTGTTACCTTCTGAATAAGCACGTTAAAAATCCGACTCAGCGTGTTGGTCTAGTACAAAGCAAGGTTAATATTCATATTACATTAATAAGTTTTTGCTGCTGGACATTAAGCAGCCATCTATCATCATCATCATTAAAATATTTCTGAATTTACAGTATCCTGATCAACATGACAAATGACGAGTCCCATTTTCCATTCTGATGACTGAGTCACATTCAGACTTTTGAGGCAAACAAAGGACATAAAAAATCTTACTTTGTCATGAACAGGATTCAATACAACTAATTTACATATTAATAATATTATATCTGAACACCTACTTATCCCTACTGGTATCAACACTGGAACCAAACAATGATAATGTGTATTGATCATAATTATTAAGGTCAAGAAGCTGTAGATATTTCTGTATTAAGTCTGAGTATGTCATGTAACTTTCTCCACTACTGGTTGTACCACTTGCATACTGAAAAATAAATCCATATACAAATATACACATACAAATATACACATACAAATATACACATACATGAGTTCATATACATGTAGCTACAGCAAATGCATCTAGATTAAATATTATCCTCAAAGGCTGCAAATATAAATATCTGGTACATTCCTGTGGCTGCCTATCAGAACTTCAAAGTAATAAAATCTTAAAGACCTCTTTTTTGCTTATCTTGTATTGCTGATCATTCTAATTGTTTACAGTTTCTCAATCTTCTTTAGTTTTTGCCCAAAATGCAACTAGTGGCTCTTAAGAGCCGGTCTTGCTCACTTGCATCTAAGTGCATCTTCAACAATGACCACTCTCATTTTAGACTATAATATATAGAATTAACTAGAAATTACCTAAATCTCTTTTTTATCTTATTTGTTGATCTTGTATTGCTGATAATTTATTCTGCTATAACTTTTTCCAAAACACAAAATGGGTGAAAATCACCATCCATATTTAACCTCTCTAGCCTAACAACTGATGAGCAAATCAGAAGGTTTGAATCATCAGCTGTTTACAATTATCTAAATGCTAAATACCTTTGAAAATATTTCTCGCAGTTGTTCATGTTCTGACCTTTTCAGCAACTCAACCTAAAAATACACAAGTAGAATCATGGATTACAGCAACACTATTTTTAATATCCTTTAATACATACATGTATAGAAGTATTAAGTTGTCTGGTGACATCTCTGTTATGGAAAAAAAACCTATTGTCTTTGATCCTGAAAAATTAGCAAGTGAATTTCAAATTAATCTGAGAAATAACCATAGTTTGAAAGGGATATAGTGCTCTTTTGAATTTTGATATAGTGCCTGTTTGCATTATGATAATACTTTGTTGTTTTACTTGATATTGCTATCAGGTCAGTCTGCAGTACTAGTGGAATTTGCATTAGAAAGTATAATACAAAATTGGTAATCTACAATGCACATGTACCCCAGCCTACATTTATTCTATTTGTTAGAAATGAATATTAAATGTTCATTTCAAATACATAAAGAGGACAATTTTTTTTCTGATCCATTTATACTAACCATAGTAATGTGATGCTAATTAATTAAAAGCAATAATATTATCAGTAAAATTTATATGCACCAAAACTTTAATAATAAAAATAAGGAAATATATTATTCATTAAAAATGAATAAAATTGAGATTGGAAATGGGGAATGTGTCAAAGAGACAACAACCCGACCAAGGAGCAGAAAACAGCCCAAGGCCACCAATGGGTCGTCAACACAGCGAGAAAATCCCTCAACCAGAGGCAGGCTTCAGCTGGCCCCTAAACAAAAATGTGTACTAGTTCAGTGAAAATGGACATCACATTAAACTCCAAAACATATAAATAAACTAAAATAAAAAAAACATACAAGATTAATAAAGTCCAGAGGCTCCTGACTTGGGACAGGCGCAAAAATGCAAAATGCAATTTTGCATTATACTTTCTAATGCAAATGAACACTGTTTTGTCTCAATATTGTTTGTTTTTTTTTCATATAGAACCTACACTTCTTGAGATGTTATTATAGCTAATAAACTCATTGGTGATTTATTTAAATGCCAAGTGTTTTACTGCATGAAAATAACACTTTCTTATTATAATACCATCTTTTCAACGTTCATGTATATTTCCTTCAAACATATTTCTGTCCAATGCTTACAGATCTTCACAGTAACCTGTATGTCAACAGGAAATTTAGAACATTTCAATTAACTTACTGTTTTTGCCAGTAATTAAAATTTAAACAGGTCTGATGATTTTTTTTCAAAGCCTAAGCTGTGAGTGTTTGGTGGTGGATACTTGGTGGTAAAATTTCTTATTGCAGACTTTGTTCTTTAAAAACTGTTGCAGGCAAATACAAAAAAAATCAACAAAAATCACATGGCATTGAAAAACTAGACTTACGTTTTATTCACATCTCATTGTAAATAAAAAAAAATATAATGGACAAGTAGTGCAGAAGGGGAGACAACTCAATGTCCTTGGCAATACTTTTTGAAAGTCAACGTTTCAAATCTTTCATGCAAAATATATAAAAGCAAAAAATAGAGTCGGACGTGTAAATTACAAGATAAATTATAGAAAATCACCTTTTTACTTTTCATGTCACATTGGGCATGTTGAACTCGAACTGGCAAGGTTTTCGTAAGTGCTGCAACCGGCGATATGATTTTAAAAACTTCATCCTGGAAAAAAAACGATAATAATTATTAATATGTAAATGAAAAATCATTCTTCTGCTATAGAAAAATAATTTATTCAGGAAATATATATTCAGATTGATATATAGACTGCGTTTAGCTCACTGTTAAGTTGACCATTATTTTTTGGAAACTTTGCCAGGGTTTTCTGGAACCAACAGATGTAAACATAAACCGAAAAGGTATAACTAAAATCCAAAGCAGTGTACAACAGTGAACATGACCGAGAGGTTCCAAAAGTCTGTTATCTGTGCATATAATTGACGTTTTCCCATATGTCCAATCAGTCTATAAGTCCCCGGTCCAATATATTAATTTTTTTACAAATTCAAATATTCTTTGAATTTGTCATATAAACTTAACTAACAGTACTTTTGTTATCTATATAGAGTGTGTACTTGTAGTGTATATACATGTCAATTTTAATTTGTCCCAGATATTGTGCTCGATCACGGGGGGGGGGGGGGGTCTCTTCCTATATGAAGGTATATACATATGTATGTGCCGCTGCAATGGGTCCCTTTTTTGATACGTCAGATATATCAATGGGGTGCAATTTTACCGAGGAAATATATCAATAGGTAGTAATTGACCAATTGTGATATATTTAGGTACTATTTGAGCTGATAAATATATAAATGGGTTATGATTTCGCTGTGAAATATATGTATAGGTAGGGATTTCACAATTATTCAATATATGAATGTGGAGTGTTTTAAATCCCAGCTGCACAACTGTACCCAAAATCCAATGTTGAGACCCCCCCCCCCCCCCCCCCCCGTGTCCTCGATAGCTTCACGGTTTTTTATTCATTCTAAAGGTTTTCATTTCAGACAAACAGACTAATAGGTTTATACGTAAGATGTCTCAAATGTTATTTGTATAGACATTAGTCCAGCCGTGGCCTCAGTGACTTTTTTTTGTCAGTGACAAAAAAAAAAAAAAAAAAGTCACTGAGGCCAGGGCTGGACTAGTATAGACCTATATATACACTTTTTCGAAAACCCAAATTGACCTGTGATTTCGAATTAGATTACACAGTCGCCGGACACTGCCGTGCAGTTTTAAAATATGTTTTCAAAAATAACTGTGTCCATTCAGTGTCACTGTGTCCGCCTGTACAGGTACCAACATAAAATCCAGGGATGGCCACACCGTACAGAGAAGAAGACACATAGATACATGAAACCCAATATGAATACAGAAAGAGGAAAGCCATTGAACACAGGGAAAATGGTATAACATACTTTATCATTTATTTCATTTTAAATATGTTAATTTTAACATGGACATATCACACATACATAATTTAGCTTTCCAAAACATTTTTATTATTTTATAAATATTTGCAATTGATTCTAAATCATCATTTAGTTAAATTTAATATTTTTTCTTTTGTTTTATTTCAGTCAGGACACCAACAACACCATGATAAGCAATGCTCTCAGACAGAAAGACAGATGCATGGAAGTATTGAAGATGACCAAAGAGCAACTATAAAGACAGAAATACAAAACCAATCAGAAGTCATCAGCATAATGCGTCAGCATACAGACATGGACACAAAGACAATTGAATCACCCTGCTTACAGCATCAACATACTATATATTTATATAAAACGTTTCTAATTTATTTTTGTGATTTCTTTGTAATTCTATATGTTCTTGCGTAATTTATTGTTTATTAATTTAATTATGGCTATGTTATAGTGATTCTTTTTTATTTCTTTGTATATTTTCTGGTGTGATTTATTGTGTATTAAGATAAGTATGTTTTTGTTTTCATAAATAAATAAAGGTATAAAGCAACGCAGTCTCAATTTTTATATCTGCTTAAATGTACTGGAACCAAAAAACATCAACAAGTTGTTAATAAAACACATTAATGAACACTATGAGGATAACAAACTCCATTGATGTTTTTACAATACTTGTACATTAATTATATACGAGTATTGTTGACAGTATACGAGTAGTGTGGTCGCCAAGTTCAGGTGATCCCCTGTATCTTTAATTTACACCGTGTCCACTTGTGTCCGTCTTTATCTCTCTGTTTCTGTATTTTTTTTAACGAAATTGAACTGTGCATACCTGTGTCCGTCTGCATCCCATCATTTCTTTTTGTTTGTATTGAATACCGCTGTGTCCAATTGTGTCCTCATGTACATGTATCCCTTGTTTTGAAACCAATAAGGAAATAGTGTGTGTCCAGTTACATGTATAGCCATATGCTATACCAGGACTTGCATCACGTTCAGTGTTTTAACTTTGTATGCATGATAAATAATGTTGTATCTTTGTATTAATTTTACGTTATGTAACATACGTGTCCACCGAAAACAGGACATCCTAAAGAAGGATCACCAAATTACAATAATTACCACCAGAGACATGTAATCCACATAAATTATGACATGACTGTTTATTTATACAGGGGATTTGTAAAATCATTTGAATTAAATTGGAAATCTATTTTGTAAACCATTTGTTACTCGATGATTTGTTTTATTACTACCTTACTGATAGCCTATAATTGCTTACATCCACTTTATTTGAACTTTGGTGAATAGTTGTCTCATTGTCAATCATACCACATCTCATTATTTTTATATTAATAAAAATTGAAAATATTGAAATATTTTTGAAACTTCGTTTTGGGGACAACCCCCTGAAAAATTTCTGGAGCCACCCATGTATGTGTTTATACAGGGAATTTGTAAAATGATTTTAGAGTTTTAGTTGTATTGCAAATTCTCTGAAATTGTCAGGAATTTTATAAGTCACTTAAACTATTGTTAAGGAGTTTGTAAAATCACTGAAACTATTGTTAGGAAGTTTGGAAACTCACTTATCAGACGTTAAAGCTATATCAGAAATGTATTTTTCTTCTGATAGAACAAAAACAGTTTAAAATTGTATATTTTAAAGCACTTACATAAGAATTATTATTTTATTTTGCCTTAGTTTGTTGGGGTTTAGAAGCAACTTCATTTACTTAGCTCATCGTCATCAGTTGTACATATTTTTGTCATCAGTTCTTGTATTTGGAATACATAATATCTTCAATATCAATTGTAGATATTAGTTTATGATGTTAGGCTGTTGTTACATGTAGCTCAGTTTAGTGTTTGATTTTTATATTAAATAAATGGACCAAGGACTCAAATGGCCGGGTTGCACAAAATATTTCTAAAACATTGGAAAAACTGTAATGGTCATATATATGGCAAATAAAATGAGAAAACTGGGGAATAAATCTTAAATATATGTTCGTAATGGGAGGTTCACAAATTTGATAGGATCTTTGTTAAAAACTCGTAGAGCAACCGATTACGCAAAAAAGGTACCGTCTTTTGTAAATTTATTGAAAAAAACCACTAAGTTACCCAGTCTGACAAGTCTGAAAAAATTGGGGGAAATCCTCAACAATTCCATTAATAGAAGACGCACAGCTTCAATGTGTTCAATCTTTCTGCGAAGTTTCAATGACCTATATATATGAATTGGAAAGTGTAGCAAAAGTAAGTTACGCAAATAAGTACCCACTTTTCCTCGCCCATCAAACAGGTTCAGACATCACCATACAATAATTAATCCAGTTTTGCACTTGCTACGTCGTTGTGCAACCCGGCCAAAAATGGAAAGTTTTTATAAGTAGCTAGGCCATCTTTCTTTACTTTTTTAGAAAACAATAGAAACAATAACTCAGAACCAAACAAGTTAGCAATGTGAACCTATGTTCGTTTGATTGCTGTATGATTTACCACCCTGTTGTGTCATATTTGTGTTGTTCTCTAGTAATAAGTTCGGCAATTTTCAAATATCTTTTCTAGTCATATGATACATTTTTATTTTCTTTCAGTTCTGAGAAGTAACGTTTGGCTTTCAGACTGATTTGATTCGGGCAACATTAATTTGTCTTGTGTATAGACGAAACGCGCATCTTGCCTGGCGTCTTTGTGTTTGCTATCTTTTTTTCTAGTGTTGTCAAATTGAACAGTTTTACTAACCGGTTACTCTGATAATTTCTTGTCCGATTAACCAGTTAACCGATAGTCGAGAATATTGTTAAAGACAATCACTCTACGAATGATACGATACTTTGAATTTGATCGTGACGTCATTTTGGCATTATAAGGTTTGTTGCCTGTTCCTGGTGAATTTGAAAACAGTTACTGAAATCACCAGTATAAACTAATTTCATTGCAATTTTTTTAATCGGCATTTCGTTTGAAATATGACCAAGCCTTGGTTGATTGAGGTGACATTTTTATATGTGGACGTACACACAATAATAAGTTAAAAGGAAATACATTTGTAACCAAAAAATGTAAACTTTGATCGGCTTACAATTGGTTAATATAGATTTATTTTGTACATACATCTAAACTGTGCAAATTATGATTTCTTTAGATTTTTTCCCGAGCTGATAGACAAAATGTCTGTGTGTTAAATGAGACTACTATAACACTTTTGAAAGTTTAATGAATACCCTGTAGATATACTACAAATTTAAGCATCTTTACATAATTTTCATCTCGGTACAATATCCCATTTAAAAGATGGTAGATTTATTTAGGGACTTCATTCGTGGGTACTGGACTGGTATCCTGTAACTGGGATCCTATTCCACCTACCGGTAATCATATTTATTTAATAAGAATTCTACACGTACTGCTAGCCAAACTGTCTAACCAAATATTTTTATCTATGAAAGAATTTGGTAAAGGTTTTAAGTTACTTGTGGATACAAACTCCTTGACTTAAAATAATTTACCAGTGAATCCAAAACGTCACTACAGACACATTCAAAACGAACGAGTTTGGGATAAATAAACACCGCAAGATAGGACAAAAAGAACATCACCGTCCAAATAAAGGAAAATTAGAAATAGAGAACAAAAAAATAGTTCCCTTTGTCGTAAATGTGTGTGTAGAGTTTCCCGTGTGAAACTGAAATATCTACGAGAGACAGTTATTGCTTTTTATCTTTGTAATTTTCAAAGTAAATTTTTTTTGTTAATTTCAGTAGATTATTTAAAAAGTCTTTATTATTTAACCAACAAAACTTCATCAAGACAACGGTAAATATTGGTGAATTTATCAATTAAATGTAATTTAGACGGGTCTTAACTGAGTTTGGCTATAAACAGTGGTTCATAACAATACAGGAACAAGTCTGCTAGGA